TCCCAGGCTCATCCATGGAGAGGTTTAGTGGCCATCATTCCTTTTCTCTGGCTGCCCCAAGGTGGCCAAGCATGGCACAATCARATCTCCAAGCCAGGTTGAGGCCAGTACTGCTCTCAGTGGTCATTGTTACCATGATCTCAAAAATGCAGAGAGGGGATTTCCAGAAAAGTGACTGGGCAACATTTGCTGTCAGAATAGACCTSGTTTGTGCTGTTTCTTGTGCATTCCTTGCTCCTTGAAAACAAGGGATAATCTGAGACTTTCCTTCACTGCACAGCCAAGGTCTATCAAGACTGATTTCCACGTTTGTCTTTGGGTTGAGGAGACTCTTCCCTCTCAAAAAAAAAAACCAAAAAAAACCAAACAACCGCACACCCAAACAAAATACTTTTTTCCAGCACTCGTCTTCAGGTATGGAATTTATCAGTCTTTGTCTCCTCTTATATTTCCAGGAGAGGAGGAATAGTGGGAATGGAAGGAAATTCGGTTTAGTTTGAACTTCTCTACGTTTCTTAGCTTTGTGTCTAAACACAGGTGAGTTTTCCATTTTATCCCTCAGAATACAAATTGCTTCAATAGGACTGGGATTATCCTAAATTTAACCATTTCAGCTTTACAGAATCATGGATAATTAAGGCTGAATGAGCCCTGTAAGATCATTGAGTCCAGCCATTAACCCAGCATTGCCAGGCCCACCCCTAACCCATGTCCCTGGTACCACATCCACATCTTTTAAATCTCTCCAGGGATGGTGACTCCACTGATGCCCTGGGCAACCTGTCCCAATGAYTGACAACTATTCCAGTGAAGAAATTTTACCTAAAACCCACTTTAATTAGGCCAAATTAATTCAAATATAACAAAGATACGTGTCAAATGGATATGGGAGGATGAGCACAAAACACTAATGATTTGAAGAAATGAATATATGTTCACTTGAAAATATAATTCCCAAATAAAACTGCTTGGGAAACTGCAGTTTGCCTGCAAAAAGAGCCAAAGGAAGTCTGTCAGTGTTTAAGTGATTTTTGACTGTGATTTGGGGCACACACAATGTGTCCAGCCATACAACTTTTTCTTCATCAGGTGAAAATCTTGCTAGCAAAAATACAGAAGAACCAAAACACGTTATGAAGAGGAAGAAACAGGAAGCAGCTCCCTTGGAGGGTTCACACCTACCAAWYTCTGAAGTCGAAGGAGGYTCAACAGCTCCCAGCCTTGGMTCCACTGCCAGGAAGATCCCTTGTCCTGTGGTGCCGTTGATGGCAAAGCCATGAGGTGTCACCAGCAGTGTCACCTGGTGGATCCCGACCGGCAGCCTCGGCACATGGCAAACCAGTCCTGTTTGATTCAGAGCTGTGACGTGGCAGCTCCTGCTGCTCACCTGCACCTGCAGGGCCAACTGCTCCTCGCCAAAACCATCTCCCCTGATCACCACTGTGGCCTGGGGCCCTTCACCTGAAGGAATATGAACATCAAGGTCACTCAAATTTTGGTGCAGCAATGCCCAGAATTTCATTTCAGCCAACAGTTAAAAGTTTTTTCCAGCTTCGTCAGGACAGCCTAAAAACTACAGCGCTGGTGATCTCTCATTGTCCCACATAACACCCATTCCTGCCTGTTCCTATCAACCTATTACCTTTTTCCCTAAATTTTTATTGCAAATAGCTTGAGTCAAGAGCTGTCTTTTATTTTAGGTACCAAACCTGCCATTGTTTCTCTCCCCTTTATGCCTCTCCCATAGAATCACAGAGTAATTAAGGCTGAAAAGACCTCTGAGATCACCTCTAAACCRYGTCCCCAAATGCCACATCCACAAGCCTTCTGAACCCTTCCAGGGATGGTGATTCCACCCTGGGCAGCCTGTTCCAGAGCCTGACAACCCATTCAATGAGAATTCTTTTCCTAATATCTGTTCTAAACTCTTTTGATGAAGGTTGAGACCATTTCTTATCACCCTGTCACTGTTCTCTGGTAGCAGAGCCCGACCTGCCCTGGCTGCCCCCTCCTTTCAGGGAGTTGTGGAGAGTGAAAAGGTCCCCCCTGAACCTCCTTTTCTCCAGACTGAGCCTCCCTTCAGCTGCTCCTCATCAGTTTTGTGCTCCAGACCCTTCCCAGCTCTGCTGCCCTTCTCAGGACAYGTTTGTGCACTCAACATGTCTGGAACCAGAGCTGATCAGAAGCAACCCAGCAAAGGTGCAGTTTCCATAAAAAGTTTCCCAAAGTGATGCCTTAGGATTTTTTAGTTTCTATATTTCCATGCATCTGTATTCTTCTTTAGTATAGCACAAAAAAACACTGTTCTCCCATCTTTAGACAAAGCAATTCCTCTCTGAGCCTGAACCCAAGGACGTCTCGCTGCCTCAGAGCCCCAAAATATGGAAACAACAGAGAGTTGGGGGGGGACCAAGTTTGGGGTGGTTGACATCAACACCTGAAAATATCATTGGGGAATTGAGGTCCAATATGTTAATGAGACAGAATTTATAAAAGGTGAAAATATCATGACTCAGGGTCCATTTTGGGTGCAGGAGGAGGCTTTGTCTACACTAATGTATCAGTAGGCCTGGATTAAAGTTGTCTGTTCTCATTCTCTTAAGTTTGTCTCTCCTTTTTTTCAGCCGAGCCTGATTTTAGGCATCAAAAGGATGCACATACATGCAAAATTGCCAGCATCTGGCAGATCTTTTTCACAAAACAGAGTTTTTTGCCACTGTTCAGACATAGAGCCCTGTTACCTGATGAATACTCCACATCTCTGACTATGGGCGTCAATTCCCGGCTGAACTGGAAAGAGCAGGAGCCAGAACAGTTTGCAAGGACATCATTCACAGCCACCACCACCTGGGGACAGAGGAGAGGGTCACCTTAAAGCTGGCAAGAGAACAGAGGTGTTTTCTAGAGCCACAACAGCCTGGTAGGTGCTGGTAGCCACTGAGAGCACCCAGGGTTAGAACAGGGCACAGGCAGAGAGCTGATCACGCCCTGCTGCAATCTCACTGCCAATTTAATTGCAAATTCAAATTGCAATTTCTAGGGCTCATTCAGAGCACAGCAGAGCACTGCTTTGGATGCTGCATCAGTTTATCTCCCACCTTGCTGGGACCCACAGCTCCTCAAACTCCTGTTCTTCATCCACTGAAGATGGTTCTTGCCTTCCCCCAGTTCTTCCACTTTGCCTTGGGGATAAGTTTATTATRTTTAAAGCACCCTGTAAGACTAATTAAAATGAAACCCACAAAGTGTCTTCTCAGCATGCCACCCTCAATTTTATTTTTTGCCCTCTGTTTTTCACGCTGAAGGAAATAAGCTGGGCTGGGATCTTGATTATCTAAAAGAGATATCAAGGGATATCCCTCATGAAATCTTGATAGTTTAGAAGAATCAACTGGAAAAGGATAGGGCATAAAAGAGCCCCTCTTTATCTCTCTCCAGGTGTTAAGGATGTGCCAGGAGAGTACATCAATGCCTGCAAAAAGCAAAGCAGTCTGTCCCAAAGAAATGCAAGGAGCACAGACCTGCAAAGAACTCTTTTTTAACAGAGACACAATAATTAGAGGGACACTTTTATACTTGAGCTAGCAGCTAGCCAGAATAAAGCTCCAAAAACTACCAGAAAATGTGTTTGCTGCTGGTCTTGTTTCACTTGGGGTGTTCGAGGGTTTGTGCAGCACAGATGGAAACGATCTCGTAGGTGGCTGAGTCACTGAAAGAAGAGCAATCCTCACACCTGGGAACCAGGTTCATCAAAAAAACAGGAGGAGCTGGCCCCAGATGTTGCACAGCTGGGTTTGGAGCAGATCCAGCATCATCCTGTTGCTGCCACAGTGCCTGTGAGTCTGCTGGACACAAAACCAGCAACAGCCACGGTTCTGCAAYATCTGAGAGCAGAGGTGGAACCACATTTGTCCATCCAGCAGACTGGAATGATTCCTCCTTCAGCCAAGAAGCTCTCCTTTCTCTCTTTTCCCACTTGGGGAATTGAGATCCACAGAGGCTCAGGACTTGTCCAACTCACAGATGACCATCCCAGCCACAAACTCATTTATTTTGCCCACCAGTGTAATGGAGGGATGCAGAGCAATTCTGTCATTCCCATTTTTGGTGGCCAGCACCACAGGACCCACCAAGGGTGGGATTTCAGAGATTTTCATCCCTTGGTCACTGCTTAAAAAAAAAAAAAATTATCTTCCATCACTCATGATCAGCATTCTCCCCACCTGCAGCAACTCTTGGCAACAAGTCCTGCTCCACATATCAGGCAGCAAAACATGAGAAATTTATAGCACAGAACATCAGATTTCTGAAAGGATTTAGTGGCAGAACGAGGTACCCAAATACCTATGAGACTCCTGGATCTACACAACCCTGCTGAAGCAGTGAAAAGTGTGAGAGCACATCAACCCACCTGTGTTTGGTTATGGAGGGTAGCAAGCATGTCCCCAAATATTGGTCCAATAAACACACCCCCATCATAAACCACACGAGCAGAAACAGTTGGCTTCAGACCAGTGAGGTTTTCAGCAGAGACCTGGCAAAGATCAAAGAATTTAAGTTTCTCATCCTTTTGTGTCCTGTGAGAGCAAATCAGCCAAGGCCAAAGACTGAATGGGAATTAGCAAAGGAAATTACTGTACACTGATAAGATTGGGCAAGTCCCCAGCTGTTTTTTTCCAAGTCAGTGTCCAGACACTTTCATAGCACGAGCTGGAGTCTCTGGTCACAGTGAAGTCACTGGTGTTGAAGAAGGGAGCTGTAAAGTTATTCACATTGTCCTGCAAAAGCCTGCGGAGCTGGAGGGAGGAGATGTGCACTGAAACACCTGCAAAAKASATYGGGGAGCAGTGGATATCTCCATCCYCAGGAGGGAACATCTGCCTGCTCCTGGGAAAGGAAAGGGTTTCATTACTAGGGCAAGACTGTCATGGTTTAAACCTCTGCAACTGCCAAAAGAGTGAAATTCATTGGACCTTAAACAGCAAAAGATCATTGAATCTAGAATAGGATCATAGAATGATCTGGATTGGAAAGAACCTTTAAAGACCATCTAATCCACACAACGAACCCCAGACCAGGTTACTCAAAGCCCCACCCAACCTGACCTCAAATATTTCTAGGAATGGGGCTTCCAGCACCTCCCTGGGCAACCTGTGCTACTGTTTCACCAACCTCATCATAAAAAAATTCTTCCTCATGTCTAATGTGAAGATCATCTGCACAATTTAATAACAACCAACCTGGCCTTGAGCACATCAGCAATGGGGCAGCCAAAGCTCACCTGGCAATTGACTCCTCCCTTCCTGCTTGGGAAATCCAGGCCCTGGCTCACGTTTTCCCTTACCTGGTATCACTGTGTTGGCCAAGTGGATGTGGAAAGTTCCTCCAAGAGGTGGGGATGACTCCTGCACCCTCTGGATGGTGAGGCTGACCCTCACATCCTCCGTGGAGATGTAGAGGAGCCCGTGCTYCTCAGAGCCCTCCCGAAGCACTGCACCTCTGTGGGACAGAGAGGAGGTCACAGGAAGGAATCAGCGGTGGAGATCCCCATTCCTGACACCCCCATGTCCCCAACAGCCAAGGGACAGTGTGGGAACAACACCCTTCAAAGATTTAAGGGGAATGTGCCCAGAGCTCAAGCAAAACCAGATTTTCCCAACTTCTAACTGCAGTATGCAGGCAGTGCACACAATAGAAACAATAGAAACCTTTTAAAATTCATGATTGAAGAAATAATTTTCACACCATCAAGCACCAGAGAGCACTACCCCAATACTGGTGGCTCCTAAAGGACCAGCTCAGTGCAGCCTGGACAGCATCTGCGACAACAAAGCAAAAATATTTCCTACTTCTCCCTGTAATCTCTTCGAGTCCATGAAAATCTCAACTTTCCCGAGTTACAGTGAGATTCCATACTGTGCAATCACTAAGGTTGGAAAAGACCCCTAAGATTGAGACCAATTATTAACCCAGCCTCACTAGGTCCACTGTCAAACCATGCCCCTAAACACCACATCTGTATTGGAGTAAATMAGGTTCACCCAAGATCCGATTTCTAAAAGTTAAAATGCTTTTCTCCTTCTTCACTGAAATTCTCGTGTTTCAGAGGAAAAGCAGCCTCTCTGTGGTACAACGATGCCACCGTGTGCTCAGTGTCTGGATAACAAGTGGCCCCTGCAGGGCAGATTTCCAGAAACAAAGCCAAAAGGATCACTTCTGCACAGCTGGTACGTCAGATATTAGGGAATATTTTAGCTAATATTCCCGTTCCAACAGGAATAGGAGTTGTACTGAATTAAATCACAGTGAAGAGAAAGWGCCAGGTTTCTTTTGAAGATGTCCAAAAACAGTGTTCATCCCACCCATTTTTAAAKCTTGTGCTGATTCCTGCTTTTCTTTAATATCTTCCTCTGTGAGATAYAAAAGCTCACCCGTGCCAAGAACCGTTTATTTTTTTTTTCCCTGGTGGGAGGTACTGTGATCAATCCATTTCTTGATCCTCTTTTTATTACCTAAACAGGCAGCTCTTCCTAAACCTTCTCTCCTAGGCATTTTCCTCACCTCAATAATGATGCTCATGGCATTTTTTTCCCCTCATTTTTTTCTAAATTCAGTCCAAAAAATATGGTCATCAGTGCTGTTTGTAGCATTCCAGTGTCAGTCTTCAGGCTCCACTCCGGAGTAAAGATTTTCCCTCTTTCTTTTGATTGCACCTCTGATTACACATCTCAATCATCACAAAAATCACCCTGTATTCCCATCCCTGCCCTTACCATGGGTGGTTTGTGTCAGGATGCTAAATTTGACCCAGCTGGACATCTGACCCAACTTTTTTACCAGACTTATTTTCTGCCAGGACAAACCTTCAATGTTGCAGTCTCTGATCCAGTTGTAGCCTATGGTTCTGATCCCTCTTTCACAGTTGGGAGGAACAGAAACCTCATCTCAGCGAACAAGGACACCTAAAGTGGACTTCCAATTCCTAAAGTGTTATTTAATGACAACTGGCCAATGTSATTGGTGCCATTAAAGGTGTTTTGGAAACACCTCTGGATGATATTTATCATCAGATTTCCTTCCAGCTCTACACCCACCTTGGTGTCCCAAGCACATTTTACACCGAAGTTACCTCAGATTTCTTAAGCACCTCTCATTCTCAGCAGCTGAAATCAGCTGACAACAGCTCCAGAGAAACTGCAGGAGGTGTTACAGGGCACTGAGATGATCTGCTCACTGTCCCTACCTTGGGGAGAGAAGGGGCAGACTGGCACCACAGCCAGACACCCTCCAGGACAMGTTGTAGGTGGGAGGAGACCCCACCACAGACACTGCTTCAATTATTCTCCCGCCCAATCGTGGGGGATTGGGGTTTCTCTGAGAAACTGAAAGAAAAAACACAAACATMYATTAGAGCAAGSAGAGMARAGGTGATTGTGCCCAGGTTATTGTTATTTCATAGCTGGAAACACCTGATTTCGGGTTTGGGTTTTTTTTTTTTTGTTTATTTTTAATTATATTCCATAGAATCATCAAGATTGGAAAAGGTCTCTAAGTCCATCAAGCCCAACCATTCTCCAGTTCACCATTAACCCATGTCCCCAAGTGCTACATCCACACATTTTTTGAAACTTTCCAGGGACGCTGAGTTCACCAGAGTCTGTTCCATTTGTAGAAATACATTTCCAAATAAAATGTATTTGTAGAAATATATTTCCAAATAAACCAAGAATACTGATATTTTGGCAATTCCTTCTCAACTGCTGTCACACACACAAAAAAAAATATAAGTTCAAGAAAACAAAATTATTTTTGTGACTGTTGTGAAATCTCCCTTTGAAAAAGTTTTGTCCAGATTGATCACTAGATTTAGTGGAATATCTGGGAGGAAAAAAAACCAAAAATCCTTTACCAGTTACASCTCTGTCTGCGATGATGAGCTCATCCAGATAAAATGATCCAGATGTTTCTTCTTGCASTGCAGGGCTCTGCAAGTCTATCTGGTGCACAAATACTGGGGAATTGGCTGGGAGGTCCTGGAGAAGCACAGAGAGATTCCCACACCTCTTCCAGAGGTCAGTGCAGGTAAATGTCCAGCTGGAAGACACCAGGGTTGGGAAAATAATCAAATTTGAGGTGATTGTGATGATTCCAGATGACATTAGGTACTGTTGTTATCACTACTGGTATTTACTCATGCACAAAGCATGTGCTCAGGGGTTTGTGATCACTCATCCTGTTCTTGCTGGGTTCCCCAGAGTGAGAAATGAGGATTTAGAGCTCTGCTAATGTATCCCCCTCTGAATCACTAGGGTGAGATTTGGGAATGGCTACACCTGCTTTATTTTTTGCAAAATTCCTCAATAGCATCAGTGACCTCAGTGGAAGTCAATCCAGAATTTAATCCCCTCACTCTCTCCAAGTTCTTCAAACTCTCCTGATTTTTTTTTTTAAATCTGCCTGCCCTAAGCTTTAAATCTGCTGCCAAATGTTTTCCACCCATGAAATTTTAAGTGAGTAAAGAAAATCAAAGGCTACACTGATTTTCAAAGCGTGGAGGGAAAAAACAATCAATTCTCTCTCTTATTGAAGAAAATCTATTTGGAAAGAAACTGGGAAATGGATATCCTCAAAAATCTTCAAGTATACCCATGTTTCACTGAGGTCGGAGAGTGCATGTAGCAAGAAATATGGAAATTTACTCAAAAAAATATGGAAATACATTCCAGGGGTGCCTCTGCAGGGACAGAGCTTGCATCAGCTTACCCCAACTGACAACTTTTTCCTATATAAGAATTTTCCTCGGTTTTCCTACTGTCCTTTCTCATGATAGAAAATGTAATCTCTGATAACCAAAATTATGCTTCTAGATACCTTTTAGAGTTGGTTTCATTGAAGTCCCACAGGCAGGTGAGGTTCCTCCTCACTGACCATGAAGAAACATTGGTGTACGACACTGAGAGATGAAGGACGTTGCTCATTTGACCTTTATGTGCAAAACACACCTGGAAAAATGGGAAAAATTTCACAAATCAAGACACAGGTTATTTATATATAACGTACATGGAAGATATAATATTTTATTTCAATTCTGGTTTAACATTGGGGTTGTTTGCTCTGGAGAAGACTCCATGGAGATTTTAGAGCCCCTCCCAATGCCCAAAGGGGCTCCAAGAGACCTGGAGAGGGAATAGGAAATACAGAAAAGGGTTTGTGGCATTCAGGTGACATGGCATCAAAATGGCCCCTGTCATTTCCCTGAGGTTTTGGGTTTATTCCTCTTAAAAGAAGTAGGAGATGAACATAAAAATGAGCAATAATGGACCACCAGATGACAAAGGGTTTTTTTGTTTCCTTTTGCCAAGAAATAATCATCCCTGCATATTCCACCTTTCCCCAACACCACCCCACTTTTTCTTTACCCATAGCAAGGGTTGTATCCCCAGGAATGGATAACAGCCAGGCGTACTAAACAATATCTGCATTTCAGAGACCCAAAACCACTCACACAGCCAATAAAAGACACTCTGCTCTGTGCTAGGACACGATTCCTTGTAGATTTGAGGGAAATTCTAAGCAGACCAAGAAAATTTATGTTGCAGATTAGGCTCTGAGCATTCAGTGCCCAGTGCAAGCCACTCACATGTGTGTATTCAGTCAGGTCATATCTTGGTGGTGCTGATGGGGAAGTTTTCACCAACTGGTTTGGTCTGTGGACACTGAACCTCCCACAGAAAGGCTCTGTTYCACTGACAACGTGTCCTGTGGTGAGGATGCTCTTTATATCTGATAGATATAAGAAAAAAAAATACAAAAAAAACAACCAAATAAGAGGAAATGAGAGGTTTCAAAGTGATTCAGAAGACACCAGCCCAGCCAAGCTTCAAGATTCATGAAAATACAGCCAGTGGGTATCCAGAAATTGTCAAATAGTCCTGCTTTAAGTATTCTCCTCCAGAGATCAAGAAGTGTTTGAATCCTGAGGCTGTCCCATACAGGGCCAGGATTTGGACTCGATGATCCTTGTGGATCCCTTCCAAGTCAGGATATTCTATCACTATGATTATTATATCAATCATCTTCTTTTTTTTAATACAGACACACAATGAATCGATGATAAACATAAACATGTACTTATACCCATTAAAAGTGTAAATTTACTACTATTAAAAGTTTAAAGAACATTTATGTCATTCAAGTGGATCAATTCTCACTGCTGAATAAATACTCAGTAAATATTGCTTATTTGGCACAAAAGTTCCTCACCTTCTTTCTCAAAACCCYGGTGGAAAAGGATTTTAGCAGAAGTTGGCTCAGTTTCACATCCTATTGAAAGGAGTTCCTCTATTGCTGTTTGCACCTTYACAAGAAATTAAGAAAGTGAAAAGCAGTCAGTTACAATCATTTCAACAGCGACTTCAACGCACATATTATCATTTTTCATCAGCCAGGGAYCAGTGGCACAGCAGCTCTGAACAAGCAGGTAGCCAAATATTAAAAAATAAAAATATTAAATAATAAAAGAATAAAATTTATCTCAACAAAGTGTAAATTGTGATGTCTGACAGCTTTCAGGGGTGTGAGACATCCTCAGCCTAATAACTGTCATGGAGCTGTCACTCAGGGTCATTTTAATGCTGATAAAATGCCAAATCACAAGATTAAGCTTTTGAAGAAGCCAGAGACACACATTGCACATCTGACCTTGGAGGAGGAGTCCAAGGATCTGGATCAATGAAATTCCAAGATACCTTAATGTTGTGATATGCTTAGAATACACTGAGGAATCAACACTCAAAAAAATAAAAAATAAAAAATAAAAAAATTTAAAAGAAAAAGAAAAAGAAAAAAGAAAAATTATTACAAATAAAAACAAAAAAATTAAAAAATAAAAATTTTAAAAATAAAAATTAAAAGCTAAAATTAGAAAATGAATACAGAAATATAAATAAAAAACTGGATAGATAAATAAATAAATATAATAATTGAAATTTTTTTTAAATCACATTGCAACACATTCTCAGAAAAAGAAAAAAATTACCCCTACATCACAAACTTTTCTCAGCTTCTGGGCCAAAGTTTAACTGCTGTCAGGTACCAGAGGTTCTCAGCCCCACCCCAGCAGAGGTCCCTGTGTCTGTGTTTCATGGCACTCACCTGGAGAGCTGTAGCATTTGTGGGGATTATTCTCCGTGTGCCATTCCAGGAGATACTGAAAGAACCCGTACCAGACACAGTTAACATCTGACAAAGAAAGAGAAGCCAATAAAGAAATGAAAAAAGATGGAAGCTGCAGGAGACACAGACACTTCAAACCCGGCATCTTCTGCTGAGGAGGATTTTAAAGCCAGCATTTTGCCTTTTTAAGCCTCTGCAAACCAAGAATCCCTTCCARGAGTCACTTCAGCTGCTCTCAAACTGCTCCTGCCCTCCATGGTCTGTTCTGACACAAGGAACAGCATTTTTACATTAMCAGGAGCACAAGGGATACAAGAACTCTGCAAACAGTCCTTAAAATTCCTGACCTGCGGGAGTTCAACCATCAGGAAAAATCTTCCCCCACCCCTGAGGGTTTACACACACACACACTAATTTATTTTAAAACCATAGACAGCTTCAGCTCACTGTGCTCTTCTCACCTGCTGTCTCAGAATGCTGAAAAGAAGGYGGAAGAATATTTTGCACATTAACACCAATGAGACAGTTACAGTTAGGATTTTTTGTCTTCTCTGTCACCTCTYTCAAGGTCAGTCCAGCTCCCAGGGTCACTGACCTGCACTTCTGGGATGTGCAGGGCACGAGCCCGGATTTCGTGCCTCTCTGTGTAGTAATTGTCCACCACACGGGGGTTCAGCCACGTGTTGTGTATCTGGACTCCAATTCTCATCCCCTTGCTGGGGGTTTTTCCATGGTGCAGGGCTTCCAGGTAGTACCTGGAGCCAGCAGTCAGCTCAAATTTCTGGGATTTTGGCTGCCACAGATCGCTCCAGTTCTTCACCCAGTTCTCAGACCACTCTGAATTGCCAGCAGGGAGAGARGCAATTCTCAYCTGTGGGCAGARCAACCAGATCACAGGATCARGGAATGGTTTGGGTTGGAAGGGACCTTAAAAACCATCTGATTCCACCCCCTGCCATTGGCAGACACCTTCCACTATCCCAGGGTGATCCAAGCCCCATCCAGCCTGGCCTTGGACACTTCCAGGGATCCWGGGGCAGCCACAGCTTCTCTGGGCATCCTGTSMMAGGGCCTCACCACCCTCAGAGTTAAGAATTTCTTCCCAATAWCCATATCTCTTTGAAGCYATTAAACCAGTTAGTGACATTTCTSCAGCCCCCAARGCATTCTGTCCAATGCCACAGCTCCCAAAACAAACAAAAAAAAATTATGTTTMTAAATTATAACAGTGGGTTGATGGATGAAAARTTCCTTCCTATTATACAGGAAAAAGAAATTGTGTATAATAGGAAGGGTTTTTTTTCCTGTAAATCTCAAAAGGCTTTGGTTCAAGGTTCAATAGCATAAAGAAGATAATTCTTATGGCTTATCCTAGCACTAGGAATAGTTCCCCAAATGACTTTTCATGGGTGGCTTTGGTTCAGACAGAAATGTGCTGAACTAACAAAAAAAAAAAAAGATTATGGAAAAATAATCAATGACTGGTTGCAAGAGTGAGCTTTTTATGAGCTAAACAACTGACAGGGMCAATATAAATTATCAAATATAATCACACAGATTTCACTTTGCAATATATTTATAAGAGACAATAAACCAATTCACTCTGAGGAAATTCCCACTTGTTATCACCTTAATTGAAACCCTTTTCATCCTCATTTTTCATTTCATCTCCTTTTYCTCCACCAAGGGTAATACCTTCTGTTCTGGATCTTGGGACAAACTTAAGTAGAGAGAAGCCTGCCCATCTGCCTGAATCCAGAAGGTGTAATTGTTGGTCTGAGGAGCCACAAAAAATCCACGCAGTCTGGAGCTGAGCAAAACCAGAACATCCATAATATACAGCAAATTTTCAGAAAAAAAAAAAAAAAAAACCAAAAAAAACCAAAACAACAAACTATCCCCACACCCAACCCTAACACACACTGAGTGAACAAGAAAACATCTTTAAACCAAGTTTTAACAAAACAAAACTAGTTATTTTAAAATGAAGTAACCTCAAAATGACCCAATTTCACATTAAATGTCAATTATGCTTTACAAAAGTTTCAAAAAGGAAAGAAAAAACAGCCAYGTGAAACAAAGTACGATTTTGTGGGTGCCCGCTTTTGTGCATTTCTTCTCAAGTAAAGCCTTAACCCTGAACATGAAGAAAAAAGCCAAAACCACACTCAGAATCAAACAACGGAAAAACAGAGAAGTGGCAGAAAAATGTAAGAATTCAAGCACATTGCACGGTTTTTCAAGGTCATAACTGAAGAGGCAATGGGAACCAACACAGTTCAGGAATTTAATTATTTGTATTAACTCCACCTTTGCTGCCAGCATCAGCTGAGAATCTGCCCTTCCACATCTGGCCAGAGCTCCAGCCCTRAACACCCTCAAACTGCAGCTCCTTCTGCTTCCACAGCATTTTCTTTTTTTTTTTTTCTTTTAGTCGCATTTCAGCATATCTAGGCCAGGTAGAGCAAAAATACTGAGGGAAGGCAAAAAAGGGGAAGAAATAAAACACTCTACCGCATATTTTAAGCTTCAAAAGGACCTCAGAGCAAAGGGTTTGCTTTGATTTWTAGGAGCTATGCAGTGAGGCTCTGCTATAAAGGGCTGTCAGGTGTTTTTGCTGCACCTTACACTGCTAAAGGTGATTGCCGTGGCTTCGTGTCTTTTTAAGATCACTGAGTACCTGAAGGACTCCTTTGCCCCAGACAGAAACCTTACAGGGGAGCTGGCATTAGGTACAAACTGCCATCTGTATCCAGGGCCTGCTTCTSTCAGATCAGAGGCATCATCCCAGACTTCAAAGAGAAGCCCTCTGTTTCCTAGAAAGTTAAAACAAAAGCGTTCTCAGCAGAAATCCCAGGGCACATGCTGGAATCAGTGGTGTAGGAGACAGGCCAGGGAGAAAATTTTAATAATAAATTGGTTCTGTTTGTGGCGTGTTTTGCAGTCTAAGGCAGAACACAGATCTCGCCTTAGGGAATTTGTTTTACCTTGAAATAAATCTGCCACCAGAAATAACGAAATTCTGCGGAGAGCAGAGCATCCAACCAGCTCACACATCTGCTCTTGCAGGAAAAGGCACTGAGGTGACCCACAGCCAAAGTTAAGGCTCTTTTTATGCACCTCAATCTCCTACTGCAGTTCTCCACTCAAGGAGGGTCCCCAGAAGCCTCTGTAGTGATTCCAGTTCAGCCATCCTTCCTCTAAATATTATCCATATTTYCCCTCCATTTCCCACACCAGTCTGACCTTCCTCCCACCATCTCCTGCCTGCACCTCATGGGCCGAGCTCTCCACCTTGGTTTTCCTGGCTGTAGAATCATGGACTGATTTGGGTTGGAAGGGACCRTTYGAGTTTATCCAGACCAAMCCYCTGCCATGAGCAGGGACATCTCCAGCCAGGGAAGGTTGCTCTGAGCTGCACCCAAACCAGCCTTGAATGTGTCAGGGATGGAGCACCCACCMCCTCTCTGGGCAACCTGTGCCAGGGCCTCAACTCCCTCTCTATAAAAAAACACCTTCCTTAGGTATTTTTTATCTAATTTAAATAAGCTCCCTTTTAATTTAACACCATCACCCCCTGTCCTATCACCACAGACCCTACTAATAGTTTATCCCCATATTTCTTCAATTCCCCTTTAGGCACYGGAAGGGGCTCTCAGATCTCCCTGGAGCCTTCTCCAGGCTGGACAACCCCAYCTCTCTMATCAGTCTTTCCCCACAGCARAGRTGCTCCARCYTTTTKATTATTTTACAGCCCCCTTCTCCACCAACCCCAAAAGAAACTGGCTTGCTGTCAAAGCCCTGCTTTGGAAAGCCCTGTTTTTCGATTGCTTTCACCAGCAAAGGGTTTCTGCCCTGCATTTCTGTGTTTGTTTTCCTGTTTGGAGTTTCAGTCGAGGATCTTACCTGGCTGGGGGGTACCCAGTCCCCTTCCCTCCCCAAAGGGGTCGGTGGTGCATCTGATTTCCCGGGGAGAGATGTGCTTCACTCTGCAGGGAACACCTGCCAGCAGGAAAAGGAGGCAGAGGTGCTGTGGGATGTTTGGAAACACAGCTGAGCCACAGCAAAAACCCATCTCAGAGGGGTAGAATGGTTTGGGTTGGAAAGGACATGTCCTAGTGTAGCTGAGTATGTGTATTCCTATCATCTGCTTATGTTAAAGGAAAGTTACCCTTCTGTAACTATACTTTAGTTGAGACTGCTCTGATTTGTTTTCTGGTGTTCCTCCCTTCAAGGACAATGGGAGGGAGAAGTACAAGTCACACACATTCCTGRAGGAGTCTCAGGCTCAGTGATGGGGAAGAAGCTGCCTCCTGTCTGGGATTTCTCCTTTTTTCCCTCTTTTTTGGACTTGTTTTATTTCCTTGATTTTTCTTTTTGTCCTTCATCATCTGAGAATTAGAAGGTTCCCGTGGCACGACAGACGAGAAAGATCCTCCAGTGAACCACCGGAGCAATTCTGTCCAACCCCTCTGGGGGCCTCGGTGGGGAAGCCACTCCCAGGAGGGAAGAGAAAAGCTTTAAGATCCAACAGCTGGTCCCACAGTTTTTTTTTTGTTTTATAATTTTTTTCCCCATCTCTTCTTTGTGGGCATATTATTTTGTTGTTGTTGTTGTTTTGTTAAATATTTTTTTTTCATTTTCTTTTCACTTTCCTCTCTGTGGAGAAGTTTGTCTCTAGGACCTGAATGGGGAAAGGAGGGGGGTTTGCTGGAACTTGGGAGTGTTCACCCTCATTAAATTCGTTCAAACCACAATAGGATGTTACAAACAATTTGTTCCACAAACAGGGACACCTTCTACTAGAGCAGGTTGCTCTGTTGGATCCCCTTCARGCACAGGAAGGTGCTCCAAGGTGTCCTTGGATCCTTCCTTTCTCCAATCTGAGCAGCCCCATCCTTCTCAGC